ATATTTAAGCAGCAACTGGTCTCCAAACATGGAGGCAAACTTTCAAAAGAAATCTTGTTTCTTCAAGAAAATTCTGCATCACAAAGTGGCCATTATGCACAATAAATTGGTGGATCTTCACTTTGAATTTCTGAAATACTTGGCCTACTCACCTGATATGGCCCCTTTGGACCTCTACCTCTTTCCTAACCTCAAGAAACATCTCAAGAGATGATAGTTTTCGAACATTGAGGAGGCCACATTAACTGTGGATGGGTGGTTTGTGTTCGCTTTCTGTTGTGTCTTGCTTACATATCACTTAACAGTCATAATGGGTGAGAAGAAACTTTTTATTATAATACAAAACAAAAATGAAAATGAAAATAGATCACTATTACCAACTTGAACAATTTTACATTCCTAGATTCACAACATTAATTCTTAATTTCAAAATGTTACAGACACATTTCTCATTTTGCGCCTTAATTATAAATGTTATAAACACATTTCTCATTTTCATCCTTAATTTCAAAATGTTGTCAACATTATTAGCTGTTTTACAAAGTTAAATTCAGTAACACTTAGTAACTTTGGTCTTCAGAATACAAAATTAGTACATGTAGTTAAAATTTTCTCAGTCTTATCAAAATCAGGCTTATTTCTTCTTAGGTATAATGTGTCTAAACTTGGTAAATTTCTCTGATGACAACGGTTTTGTTAAAATGTCTGCCATCTGAGTTTCAGTGTTACAATATTAGATTGAGAAGAGTTTCTCTTTGAATTCTTCACATATGAAGTGACAACTAACGTCTATGTGCTTACTCCTACGCGTTACTTGTCCACATTCTATTAGCCTGATTGCACTCTGATTGTGGACACACAGTTCAGCTTCCACCCTCTTTCCTGTCAACTCCTCTATCAACGTCTTTAGATATTTCAATTCTTTACAGCACTCAGCTGCTGCAATATGTTCGGCCCTTAGTGGTTGATAATGCAACGATACTCTGTTTTCTAGAGCACCATGATATTGGGCCCCCTGACATCATAATTACATATCCCGTTACACTCTTCCTATTCTTTACATCCCCTGCATAATGAGCATCACTAAATGATTCCAGTTTCACAGATTCGGAGACAGATGAGGTATATTTTATTCCTGAATCTCATGTACCTTTCACATACCTAAGTGTCTTTTCACATTTTGAACAGTTGTTTTGTCAGGATTTTCCAAAGTTCGACTTTCCACATTTACAGCAAATGCCATATTGGGTCTGGTTTTAGAAGTCATATATAGCAGGCTTCCTACCTCTTCTCTGCAAAGGAAATCTTATTTCATTTTCACCTTCCTCATTTGTTGGTTTGGTCGTGGCCATGGTTGTTTTCATATCTCGACTTACTTGCATGTTGTATTTCTCCAACATTTGGCTTGCATAGTGGTTTGAGAGATATGTATCCCATCTGGTTGCCTCTCAATTTGTATTACTAAATAAACTTTTGGATTTGTGCTTTTTGTTATCTGGAATGATTTTCCAGATTCAGCAAAATTTCCTCTATTTGTCTTTCATCCTCTCCTGTGATTAACCAGTCATCCACACGAATGCCATGAACAATATTGGCATCATTCTTAAAAATGAATTGGTCAGACTTTAGTTGGTTTAGACCTTTTTCCTTTATAAAGATTGTCAACTTCTGGTACAATTGCGATGGTGCTTGTCTTAGAACATAGAATGCCTTTCAGGAGACATATCTTGCCAGTGTTCTTGTATCCCTCTGGTATCTCCATGTAGTTTTCATCCTCAAGGTGTCCATACAGGAAGGCAGTCTTCACATCAAAGATTTGCATGTTCATTTACATATATCCCAGGTTTGTTTTGGCAGAGCGAATCCCTTTCCTCTTCAATTGTTTTATTCCACTTCTCGCTGCCTTTGCTCTCCATGCACTAGTCATATGTATAGGTGAGCATACCCACCTTTTGACTCTCTGTGTGATAGTCTCGGTACTTTGGGTGCATTTGAATGTTTCTCTTTAGTCTCAATGCATATCCATGTTCATTTTGTCCATTGTTTTTCCTCCCATTACCCTCGTTGTCAGCATTTTTATTTTCTTCATGCTGTCATGTATCTATGTTCTTTCTTCATTGTAGTCAGCTTCTCGTTCTTGCTGCATTTCGCTATCTACCTGAGCTTTAGTATTTCACTCGCCTTCTGAATCCGTGACTCTTTCCATTTCCTTTTGTTTATTTGTTGTTGCAGGCTTACTTGTGAAGGTCACATCTGTGGAGACATAGTTCCTTTCAGTATATGGATCTCATAATCAGTAGCCATTTCTGTTGTATCCAACGAATGTTCCTTCCTTGCTATGACTGTCCAACTTTTTCAATGGTCCGAGAATATTAGTGTACATTTCTGAACCAAATATCTTCCATCCAGGCAGATCTGCTCTTTTACCATACCAACTTTCTGCTGGCGTTCCATTCACTGTCACTGTTGGACTTCTGTTTAGCAGGTATGCAGAAGTGAGTACAGCTCCACCCCACAGTCAATGCTCTTGCCTTTTCCACAATGGTACGGTTCATCCTTTCGGCAGTGCCGGTCAGCTGTCGCGAATTTGGTGTAGTAAATACCATTACAATCCTCTTGTTCTTACACCATTCCCTCAAGTCGCTCTTCTTATATTCCCCTTCGTTGTTCGCATCTTATTCTTCTCACTCTTGTATTGAAGTGACACTCAGCTTCATTTACATATTCCTTCAAAAAGGTATACACTTCTCTCTTATTTTCTAAGAGGTATATCTTAAAAATTGCTTATAGTCATCCACACACCTAAGGAAATATTTCTTATTGTCATAATTGGAGGGATCAATTGGTTAAAACACGTCACTATAAATTATCTCCAATGGCTTTCCAGCCCCTTTTCTTTCTGTATAAATGGAAGTCTCACTTGTTTGGCCTGCATACAAACTGAACATATATCAAAAGTTTACACTTGCTCACACTTTCTGGTATCCCTTGGCATATCTGTTGTAGTTTCCTAATATTCTATGCCACTCTACACTTGTATCTTTCTGAGTCATCATAGCTTCATTCCTCGCGCTAAAGTTAATTACAAACAATCCATTTTCATCCTTTCTTCCTTTGATTACAACATTTTTGCTCTTGAGTATCTGGACTTTCTCTTTTGTAAACAACGCTTCTCCATCATTTTCTGTAATACAGTGCATTGACAGCAGGTTTTTGCTGAGTACTGGAACATATGAAAAGTTTTTCAAACCACACTGTTTAAGTTCCAAGTTGCCTATTTCTTTTGCAGTCATACTTTGATTTTTCTTTGCTGCCATTATACATTGTGTATACTGCTTAGTATGTATCAAATCAGTCTTCTCATTTGTCACATCACATGTGCTACCACTATTCACCACATATATTTTGTCTTTTTTACATCGATCACTCACGTGGCTAGAAAATCGACCTTGCTTCTTTTATTCCTATCTTTTAAATAACAGTCCTTTTCAACATGGTTCGTTTTCTTACATACTGTACATTGTTTTCTCGTATCACTGCCCTTATTTCTAAAGTAACATTCCTTGTCAGAGTGATTATTCCTTTTACAGATAGAGCAATTTCTCTTACCTTTGTTGGGGCAGTTGATCTGGGCATGACCTATTTGATTACAATTGAAACACTTGAAAGGGGTTTTACTTTTGGTTTAAGTTACTGTCTTAAAGACTATGCTTTCCTCTTCTTTAGTCGTCATCTTGCACTTCAATTCTTCCAACATGAATCTGACCACCAGTTTGTCATATTGTGCTACAGGCATGTAACTCTTTGCTAGTATATGCTTCTGCCATTCAAGAACTATCTGTTAACATATGAAGTGAAAGAGAATCTTGAATGGGATCAGACTGGGTTAAATCAGATCTATGTTATTCCTTTAATGTAGTACTTGTTTTAATGTGCCTTCCAAGATTATATTAAACAATTTATATATACTTATTTATCTCTTAATTTGTGTAATAACAATGGGCAGTGAAGTCCTACAATTGAGTGTGTTGTCATTTCATATGTAGTTCTGACTTCTTGCCAGTTTGAATAGCTATCAATTAACACAGAATAGTGACCCTTGATGTTTATGTTTGTTATAATGTGAGAGCAAGTCATAGTCTTATTATTCATTCTATCTAAAATGGGCCTTTCCCAGATTTGAAGAATATCGATTCCCTACTTTACAGCATCTATACTTTCTCTTTTGCCTACATTCCTTGATTTTAAATAAATAAATAAATTAAAGGAGGAATGTGATAATATCTTTCTCCACCTTGTGTCTTCCCTTCCCCCCCCCCCCGGGCCCAATCAAGTTGTTAGTCAGTGGCTTGGTAAGCATGTTCCCGTGGAAGTGAATATGCCTACAACAACAAAGAACTGTTGGACACTGTTTTTCTGTGTGGTCTGTATCATAACAAATACTCAGTAGATAATGTAAGAATATTAGGTGGTTAGTTCTTCCTAGAACGTTTTATTAGCCAATAATTTTAAAATGATATATACTACGATTTAATTTTTAATTCCTTCTGTGGAGTATTCCTGTTAAGAGTACACAGCTTTTTGCAGTCTCGTTGAGATCTGGTCAAATCTAGTAAATTTGTCAGTATGTGTTTTGTAAAAAGAGAAAATTCTGGTGAGGAATTACTGGAATGAGTCAGTCGTCAGTTTATATGCAGAAAAACATGTCCTTCCTAAATGATTAATAACAATTCCAACATTGTTGTGTATGTTTCACGTGGAAACATTGTGTTACCTCTGGTGTCATGTGTTTTGCAATGTCAGATATGATTATGTCACTCTGATACAAATACAAAATTTATGTGTCTGGAATGGAAGTGACAAATTCAAATGATATGAAACGTCGGTGCTGCAAACATATCCTATTGGTTATAAAAAAAATATGATTTCATAGTGCAGTAAATACTCCTGTTTTTTTATATATAATTTACATGTATAATTATGCTTATCATTTTGAAATTTTGTGTATGTTACAGTTATTAGACTTATTTGACAGTGAAGATCCTCAGGAGCGTCATTTCCTCAAGACTGTCCTGTATCACATCTATGAGAAATTCCCAAGGCTACGTGCTTTCATACGCAAACAAATAAGTAACATCTTCCTTGGGTTAGTAGAATTTCCCATTGTAATTAATTATAGGCTAAGAGGATAATGGAAAAATACACTCATTATCTGATTTTGCATAATTTGCGTGTTTAGCTATATATATATGTAGCAGCAGTATAACATAAATTAATTGAATTCATGCTAACTGTGTAACCTGAGTGAGAAGAGGCATTGGATTTTGAAAGATTTTTTAATTGTTTTATTTTATATATATATATAATTGTGCTGTATTAATTAATGCTTCAGCATTGTTGACATGTGTTTAAACTCTTTGCATCTGATAAAATAGAATTTCTAATTTTTAGGTTTGTATATGAGTCAGAGGATTTTAATGGTGTTGCCGAATTACTGGAAATAATAGGAAGGTGAGTCAGACTTTTTAACTGTAATCAAAAGTTATTTACTGGAACACCCAATTTATAATTTGCATGAGTTACACTTAGAAGGACAGTTAAACAAATAAGATTCTCCTTGATAAATAGATTTAAGTGTAAATAAAATGACTATTAATTACATGAAGTTTTTAATATGATTCAGCCTATAAAGGGATTGGAAGTCTTAAGAGAGATTGCACTCCAAATGATTTAATCATTATCTAAATTGAATTTTATATTTTGTGGATTATTTTGATATAACAGGTTTTAAGTTGAAGAATATGAGGGTGGTATTTAAGACTTATATAGTAAGATGACCTTGTTTTTTATAATGGAACGTAGTCGTAAATTTGATTGTACTTAATATATTATAATTATTCCCAGTGTGTTATTTTAATTGTAATTGAACATTATGTTATGTGAGATATGATGAAGTTCAATCGATTCGGCAGGAGGCCAATTAGACTGGAAAAGTTGAATATGTATGTGATTTGTTTGAGAGATGCAATCAGTAAGTGTGAGAGATACGGTTCATTATGAAGAAAAAGGAGCACAGATTTTATTTGACAGCGGTGTCAGTCCGAAGAAAGTGATGTTTGGAAGGCAAGGGGACAAGCTACCACGCTTTGTCATATGACCTAATGTAACTGTAACCCCTGATTATCAGTTCAACTAAAAGATTTAGAAAAGCCATACTGTTGACATGAATTACTTTATTAATGCTCCATTAAACTAGACTGGCTTAGTTCTAGATTTACATTGACCTAAACACCAGCATGTATTTTATTAGATTATTTCATTTATTATCTTATTATCTGTCCATCTCCATACTTGACTCATACACTGTCTAAGGTTATCCATTTTGCATGGGGTGTTCTGCATTATCAGTCATATAAGTTTTTTGGTTTGATGGTAGTGATTCAGATTGTGGTTTTCTGGTTGTGACATTTAACCTAGTCTTGTAGGCAAAAGCAACAGAATGCTAGGAATCGTGGGGAAGTGTACATCGGATAAACCCTCTGGACCTGGTTCATGGATACCGTCACTTCTCACTGGAGAAGTCAGGTGCTGCAGAACACAGCATTTACCTGAGTCAATGAGTCCTGCTCTTCAATATCAGAATCCTGCCCCACCCCACCAAAAATAAAGGTACAGGGGCCAGCTCAAAGGGAAAGCAATGGAGATTGATCTGTACAGTAACAGCATGAAGGGGAATAGGTTCTGTCTGCACAGGTTACTGAAGCCTCATATCCAGTTTCTGAAGGATAGGAGAAGAGGTTTCTCCCTTGAGATGATGAGACTCCCCACCCAGGCCCTTGGAGGACAGCAATTTTTCTCTTGTCATTTCCCTCCAGCTGTGATGAACATTTTTGGCTCCTGAAAAGGCCGATTTCCTGCCCAGTGTTCCTACTGACCCAGACTAAACTCCATATCCCACCCCCTTGCATGGATCTGAGTGACCATATTCCGTGCAACCTGTCTGTAATACCCATTTGACTCCTCTTGCTATATACTTCAAGCCTAAAGATGGAGGCGGTGTATTCCCCTGAAATGTTGGTAACTGCCTGCAGGAATACACAGTATCACAGCCCATAAGACCACAATCTTAATGCTGTTAGGTAATAGTTTGACTTGAATGAGGCAATTACACACATGGAAAAACACATTCTTAGTCTACAGATTGCAATGTTCTGTTTGCCCACTGCACACCTAATAATAATACTGCAGAATAAAGAAATGAAATTCTCTGGTTTCAGCATTATCAACGGCTTTGTGCTACCGCTGAAGGCAGAACACAAGCAATTCCTCCTAAAGGTTCTGCTTCCAATGCACAAAGTTAAATGTTTGTCATCGTTCCATGCACAGCTGGCATACTGTGTGGTTCAATTCCTTGAAAAGGATGTCACGCTAACTGAACCTGTTGTTAAAGGGCTACTCAGGTTCTGGCCTAAAACATGCAGTGAAAAAGAGGTAAAATAAACATTAGAATAGCTATTGTCAGCCAAGGTAAATAAGGCACTATTACAAGTTACTAAAGTAGTAAACAAATTGTAATTGCATCACTAGATATTTACTAGAGGTGGCATAGTTTAGTTTACAGTTGTTACAAAGTGCATCTTTTGCAGTATACCAAGTAAGTTTACATGTCATATAAGCATGAGCACTGACTGTGTAATGTGGGTATCTTTAGCTTAGTTATAAATGGATTCAGAGCACGTGACAGTGAAATTAACAATTTGTAATATTAAGAAAGAGCTGACACCACTTGTAGAATTTGCTGTTTCGATCTCTTAGCCCAGAAGGAATGTTATAGAAGTATAAAATGTGCCAGAGATGCCAGATGGCGATAAAGACTTGCAAAATATTGTTCCTTAACTACATAGAAGGGTGTATGTGGAGGGGGGGATTGATGAGTTATTGTATTGCAGCTACTAGTTTTTGTGCTAGTGTTCTCGATCCAGTATGCTGCAATCCTTGTTACCACCATCCTGAATGTAATCCATGAAGGAGCAGTTGTGACAGTTGAATTTCTGTAGATAAATAATATATTTTCTGTGCTATACTTGCTCGTTCCTCGCCCTTCCCGCTTGTTAAATTGATATGAATATTGTTTCAGGTGATGTTCCTTGAGGAGACTGAAGAAATTTTAGACGTAATTGAACCATCACAGTTCGCCAAAATTCAGGAACCCTTGTTCAGGCAAATTTCAAGATGTGCCTCTAGTCCTCACCTTCAGGTATGTATTTATGGTGATACAATGAGATGTGCTTTCTCGAAATCATACTCATATTTGGTTCACATTTGTATGTGAGTATGAAGTAGAAATAATATTGTATTTTGTAGTTTTCTTATAAAGAAATACAACCAGGAACTGTGGTGCAGCTTTTTAATAATAAGGTTGTACCAGTTCAAGCCAAATCCTTCATATATAATTTTAGTTTTCATTTGTATAATTAATATCAATCGATGATAGGCAGAGTTCTGTTCAGTTAGCTGTAAGATGTATGAATCTTTCTAAGGCACCTAACAGATTCAGAAAGGGCCTTTGCTGATTTAAGAAGGGATTAGAATGGAGGAAAATTCTGTTTATAAACCACCTGGAGTGGCGTAAATGTAACCATGCCTTCCAAAATTCATAAGGGTTATTTTGGCCTAAAGAAACCCTTGCTTTATTGCTACGGGTAGGCTGGTGCAAATGTTATCACAGGATAACTTAATATGTCAGGTGTCCAGATGTGGACTTGCGGAGTGTACCTTTTACTTAGAATGGATGACTTGATGCCTGATGATGATGCCTGTGTGTCGATTTCTCATGCCAATACAATAATGAAGACAGACTTGCAAAAGACATCAGGCATCTTCCATCTGCCATCTGCCATTTGCCATCTGCCAGAGGTTCATGATAAATCCACACACAAACAATCTGATCCTCATAAAATTGTTTTACTTCTTTAGGTGGCTCAATATGCACTGTACTTCTGGAATAATGATCACATAATGAGCCTAATTGAGGAAAACATCCATGTGATCATGCCAACAACGGTCCCAGCTTTGTGCCACATCAGCAAAGAGCACTGGAACCAAACAATTGTGGCTCTTGTGCACAATGTGCTGAAAATTTTCATGCAGATGAACAGCAAGCTTTTCTATGAGCTCACAGCATCTCACAAGGCTGAGAGACAAATGTAAGTAGCCATATTATGAAAACTGTATAGCATATTTGTTGTCAAGAGAGATGATTAATATGCTGTGTTGCTTGTTTGTAGTGGTTCTGTTCTCCATGGGTTAGGGAAATTAATTAGGTCTGTCCCTGCCAGTCATTCCGAATAGGTTGAACTTAGATCTCTCACATGTTCAGTTTATAAGAATTGTTCATCTTCTTACTGTGGCTTTACGGCCCCTTAATTTACTCTTAGCCTCCCTTAGAAATACGTTCCATTATTTTCTGTCTCGATTTTTTGGTTTCCTTATTTTTATAACTCAGGGTTTTTTGTCATCTAACCCTCTCAGTTTGAATCTTCTAACTCTTCATCTTCTGCCTGGTTTAATGTTGAGTATCATGTTTAGTGTGAGTAATTCCATTCTGATAACATCCCAGCCATTCTGATGTTCTAATTCCGATTTCACTTGCAATATCTCTTGACTTATATCAATTTTATAGTTCTAGGAACTTGTTATTCTCCACGCTCCTTCTTCACGTCTTTGTCCGTAAATTTTCCTTAAAATCTTGCGTTCTCATGCCATCAGAGAGAATGCCATTTTCCCTGAGCTTGTCCAAGTTTCACTGCCACAAAGTGTAATTGGTCTTATGACAGTTTCATATGTTCTCATTTCCATGCTCGCTCTTATGTACCTCTTACTGAGCATGTTACTCAAGGCCTGAAAGCACCGGTTGGCACTTCTAATTTTGTCTTTTATATCATATTCTATTTCATTTTGAGAAGTAATTACTTAGTCTATATGTTCAAATGTAGCCTAATTTCAAAGATTTCTCGTGTATTTCAGTATCACAATCGGCTAAATTTACAGTTTCCTTAGTTTTCATATGTTTAGTTTTGTCAGTGTCAATTACTAACCGTTAAATTCTGCAGCTGTATTTAGTAGTGAATGGACATCATTTAGCACCCACAGTTCTGTATCACCATTATAGGATATGAATTGCCTAGTTTTGTTGAAAATTGTGCCACATGGGTAAATTCCTATATTTCTATTCACTTTCCCCAGACCAATATTAAAAAGCAATCTGGATAGGGAATCTCCTTGTCTGATACCACATCCTGTTCTAAAAGTTCTCGGCAATTTCTTCTGGATTTTAACTTTACTGTATGCCCTTGACAGTATCATTTTGGAAGAAGAGATTAACTTAGCAGGTGTACCAAATTCTTTCATTGCTTCAATTATAATTGGCCGGTTTCAGATAATTATCTGAAACCGGCCAATGATGTTAAATGCTTGTTTGAAGTCAATATATAGTTTGTGTAAACTGAACTTATATTCATGTGATTTTTCTAATATTTGTCTAATTACAAATATATGTGATCAGTAGTGCTGCAACTTTGCCTAAATCCATCCTGATACTCACCAAGAATCTGATCAGTATATATGCTGATATGCTGTGCCAATATATCAGTAGAGATCTTCTTGTACACTACATTCAATAAAGAAATTCCTCTATAATTTTACATTCTAACTTATTGCGTTTTTGTAAAAGGTGCAGATGATATTGTTACACCTTCATGTTTTCAGGTTATGTCGATGAATGTTCCTTGATGAATTTAATACATAATAATAATAATATTTGTGTTGTGACGGTTAATAAAGAGGTTGTACATAGTCTTCAGTGTTAGGATCAATCACTCAGCCTGGTTGTTAAAAATCTTCAATAGCTATGAGCCTTTATATTTTTACATTAATTCTCCTCCTTATATATTTTCTGGCCTCCCATGCATGTTCCACTGTAATATACATTATGCAATCCAAAAGTTTATGAAATATATTAATAAAAACTATTACGTCTTAACTGGATAATATTCTGCACAATCACCTTCAAAGTAGTACACTTGGGAGGGCATACACCAATCAAAGCGTTTCTGCAACTCTTGAAATGCACCCTGGAAGTCTTTCTTTGTTAGGGTATATAGTACCGTTTCCATTTCCGTTTGAATTTCCTCAACTGTAACAAATCTTCGCCCCTTCAACTTGATTCTGATCTAGGGGCAGAGAAAGAAGACGAATGGAGCTAAGTCTTGCGTGTACGGTGGGTTGGGAACAATTGCCAACATTTTTTAAGATCAAATTTCCTGCACAATATAAGCCATATGCAGTCATGCATAATCAGCGTGGAAAACCCAGTCATTCGTGCGCCACTTCTATGGACGTATGAGGCTGGCGGACACCGTGACCCTTAATTTCAACAATAAAATATCTACGGCTCTGGTGTTCTTGGACATCGAAAAAGTATTTAATACAACGAGGCACTCAGGATTTCCGTATAAGTTATCAAAGTTGGAATTCTCGAACAGTTTGACGAAACTTAGGCCTAATTGGTCTTTTCTTTCAAAACGTAAAATCAGTGTCTCGACTGAAGGCGAAATATCAAGGCCAAGTGAAATGCAAGCAGGTTTGTTAGCATGGATGTCCGTAATGTTGCAGGCTTTAATTATCACCTACTGTTTACTGAGCCGTTGCTAAGCAACGGGCCTGGAAAGGGGTCCGCTCAGCTTCGTAAGGATAATTGAGGAGCTATTTCAAAGAAATGGCGGCTTCTGTCTAGAAAACCGAAATTAACGACAAAAGTTGGAACTAACTTCGCAGAAAAGCGGCCGTTGTTCGGTCGGTATACTTCGCTTGCCAACTAAAAACACGAGTTTTCATCTTCAGGGTGGAATTTAGTAACGCTTATATAGCTCCCGCATTCAGCGATGTGCCAGAGATGAAGTTGTGATTGGACAAAATTGGACACTACAAAATTTGTAGTGAACTTCATTTCTCTTGCATATTTACATGTTTCAGGAGTGTGTATTTATAGCATTTAAATTTCAAACGTCTCCACAGAATTTGTACACTATTATGAGTGGCACTGTAGCATCGTCAGGCAACAAGTGTCCTTGAATTGTGTCGATTGTGATTGTAAGCTATTTGAACTTCATTCACTGAGCTTCAGTGTCTGGTCATCTGCTGTCATCTGCTTTTTCCTTTCCAGATATAGTCAGTGTGATCAAACAATTTATACCACATGTAAATCAACAATTTTCTTGTGCAGTTCCCTTCCAAACACTACAAAATCTACTTTTCTGTTGTAACCACAGACGTAGACATATATAAGCACAGCTTGTGTTTAGATTTCTCTGCATGAGTCACTGTTTTTACTACTGAGATTAATGTTTCATGTAGAAAGAGTTGGAAATTCAAGTGGCACAAATTATAAGGCTTGATCACATAGCCACAGATGCATCTAGTTTTCAAACCTTCTCTTTTCACTCCATGATCATTGTTGCTGTAAAATGATCTACATTTACTTTCAGTTTTAATTTTCATATATATTTTTAGTATGAATGTCTCAGTCTAACAAAGGAAGGATCATAAGTTTCTCTTTTCTGCTGCTTTTGTTAGTGCTTTTCTATGTCCTCTCTCAAGAACTCCGTATTGTATTTACCACTGGTTAACGAGTACTTTATATAATTTTAAATATATATTCCTGAACATTGTTGTTTTAGG